CTTGTATTACCATATTTCTTAGCTCTATCATTTTGGCTCAATCCTCTTCCGCCTGAACGTTCCATGATGGTCTTTGTTCTGGCCACTTCTCTGCCCCACTCCTGCCCTGGGGGGTTCCCGAATTCCCAATCCTTTATGGCAGCTTGCCTTATCATATCTCGTTCCTCCACATTAAATAAGGATCTTAATATAGCCGAGATATTATCATATGAATAGATACTATTTCTCAAAAATTCATCCAACCTCTCCGCCACCCCCAACGCATCATCTATTAAAATTTCCCCATTTACTTTTTAAAAGCTCTTACATCCTACGTATTGATGGGAACGTTTACAAACCTGATGACTCCGGCGGCGGTTGGGACTTCCCTTAAAGGGTAGAGACTAGGTTTGTCCCTTTCATCATCACTATCCTCCGTGTTTTCCCTCTTCATCTTACACTGAGTTCTACTGGCAGGAGATGTGTTTTCCCCAGTGAGAAGCATGTGTGTGTGTGTCCCCGTGTTGTGTGTGGGTGGGGGGAAGTTGAGAAGGTCTCGGCGTGCCTGCAGCCGATATTTGTGCATTAGGTGGCGATGCAGACTGATCCGGAAGTGGGGGCTGTTGAGACCTGTGCTTGTGATAGAGGAACTTGGTACTGGGGTGGCAGCTTTCCCCGTACTTACCTTGCAGCCAGTGGTCTTAATAGGGAACAGCTGTGCGCTGGCATATTCCCACAGCCTGGCATAGTCCAGCTCCTCATTGTCCCACTTCCCTTTGGCACCGCCCCCCCCCCCCATTTTAGACGTAAAATGCACAGCGCAACTTTATACTGACCAAAAACAAACAAAAAAATTTGCTACCGATTATCAAAAACCATGGTTGAGAAGCGAAAGCACTTAGATTTCAGCCCTGCAGAGCAGTAGCAGCAGCTTGTGCTGTTTTTAAAACTGCTGCCGCCACCTGCAAGAACAGGGACTTCCCCACACCACGTGGCCGAGCGCTGACCAGCGCTGCCCGCGCGTGGCAGGAAAGCTCAAGCCCCAGCTCCCCCTGCCGCCTGCGCCCACCCGGAGTAGGTAAAAGCCCCCTCCCCCTCCCGCTCTTGCCACGGGGAAACCAAAGCCACTCCGCACCGCTGCGAAGGGGAGGGGCAGGCAGAGCCCCCCCACTCCCCCCGAGCCAGCACTGCCGCCTCTGCCTGTGGCTGCACTCAATTCCGCGGGGCTGCGCAGCCTTTTCTAACATTCACCCCCAAGGGGCTTTCCCTCGGAATCTCGGGCAGCCCGCCCCTTCCCCCTTTCTCAGGTTTTACAGTTTTCCCTTGGGTTTTCTCCTGAATTTTACTTTTCTTTTGTCCCATGTTTTAAGTTTCCTTACTGTATTTCCGAATCAGTGTCCTCCGAAAGCCGTTCCAAGAAGTCAGTTACCCATGTGCTAAATGTATATTTCAGTCCTGTCCTGGACTGAGTCTTACCAAGTGTTTAAACCGGTCTGTCCCCGACCAAGCCTTGCAACTTAGTAACCACACAGTGAACCGGTCCATGGGTTTTCAGTTGGAAGAACAGTGAGCTCTGTCTTACCTATTTTCCTGGGCTCCCCGAGCCCAGAGCCGGTGAGGTTTACCAATTTCTCGAGTCCACGAGAACGTACCTTCCCTCCCCCAACCCGTCCGTGGGTGGATTCCTGTAACTCTCCGAGTTTCCGGTCGTATGCGTGTTGTGAGTATACCTGAGTTCTTTTGCTTCCCCCGTAGCCGACCACCTCCCTCTTGGGATAGTGGAACTGCGGTTTATTGGGGTCTGCTCGCGCCCCGTGACTATGTCACATCTCACGCACACCCACTCACGCCCCACTCAACCACGCGATACTTATGGTTCCTTTTCCCGCATGGATTCCTCCTGCACGTTAATTTTATGAGTGAAAAATTACTGCTCCAGCTTTGGAGGTCCGACTCCAAGTTCCGAGAGCTCTGGGCCCGTTTATACTCTTTCCTTAACATGGCTTTTTGGCTGTTTTTGGAATCTGGTTGGTTCTGTGGAGTTCCTCAGTCTTGTCCAGCCACTGAAATCAGCGGGGCGCTGCCCGGATCAAAGATAGAGAACCCCCTGGTAACCCCCAAACCAGACCGTGTCGGAGTCACCAAGTTTGTTATAAATGAAAATTTGTCCAGCCAAATTAAAATGAAAAAATAAAATGTTTATTTTACAATCAAATTCTATCTAGCCAGCGACAAGGAAAGAACAGTGCTGAGCCCAGGGTCGGCACTGGGTGCGCAACAAAGAAGTCAGCCTCAGCAGAGGTTTTCCTCTATGCCCACACACCTCCATCCTGGCACAAGCGGTTTTTATAGGAAAAATTCTGCCTGAGGCCAAGATTTCGGCAGTCAGTCTTTTCTTCCATTCACAGTCCATAGGTTAATAAGATTTTTCTGCCACGTCTCGTCCCCACTTCGCAAGAGCAGATCTCTTGCCAGCCCCAGCTAGATCTCCATGGGGCGATACGGCAGCGAGAGGCACTCTCTGCTGAACCCAGCAGAGCTTTAGAGAGTGCCTTCGTGGGTCCAAGGACGTTGGTGATCCCACCGGCAAGGAAGGAGGCGACACTCTTCTGGGGATAGGTCCAAGATTTATTGTGACTATGAGGAGAGCCCCGGAGCCCAACTGCACTTGAAGAAATCCAGCAGAAGAGAGTGAGCTCGGGGTCTCAAACAGCCCCTGATATAGGGAGGGCAGGGAAACCCGATCAGACAATGGAAGAAGACATGGGTGTGGCCCTCCGAGGGAAGGACAACCGGGGTATCCACTTAGGAGGAAGAAGGGGAGGGACCCCAGGCCATTGTCCAGTCACCCAGCAACCCCGGCTGAAGCCTCCAGACAAAGGGGAATGGTGGACAAGTCACCCAGGAGGGGTCAGGGGCATGGGTCAAGGATTTTGGGATTGATGGACATATGGGAAAACCTGGGATGAACCAAAAGGGCACAGGGGGGTACAGAGAGACAAACCATTTTGAACATACGTACAGTGGAACCTAAAAACACAACTCCACAATTTTCTTTTTTTGGTGATGAAGAAGAACAATTCAGTGTCCGGAGTTGTTGAATCCCTTGATGAAATTTATGGGAACGCTGCATTCACATATTTCCATGATATCCATCTCAGGTCGTTCACGCCATGATCAGTGCCTGGGCGTCCTATCTCTCCAGACATGGCCCATTTCCTGGCCGAGCCACATTCTTTTACGTGCAAATCGGGTTTCAACATACACTAGGTCTCGCCTGTGAGGTTGGAGGGGACTCCTAATAAAAACGTGTATACTCCAACAAATATTCAATATCACTTATATCATACTAGAAATGGCGCGAATTATATCTACTACACATAACAGTTCTTATGCTCTGTGTTTCTTCTAGCTCTTACAAGCTTGTGTTAGCTCTACCTGGATCTCTACAACTTTGAAATAAACTTTTAGATTATCTAGTAATCAATAATTAATTTTGGAATATCTGCAGTATAAAAGCAGAATGGTGTATTAGCAAGATTTAGTGTATTCAGATCTCCTTTTTATATTTCACAAAAATTGTGAAATGTGATGTTCCACAAAGTCCAGGTTCTGAATGAGGCTATTTTTCTGGTGTTTATGTAGGCTTAAATTGATCTGACTAGCTCTCTAGTGCTTTCATGTTTTTTCCACTTCTAGTATACTGTACTCGGTTTGCATGGCCTGGATTTTGGTAGAGGGGGAGCACAGAGGTAGCTTCTGTGAGAAGTTGCTAGAAGCTTCCACCATATCTGGCAGAGCCAATTCCTGATGACTCTGAAGATGGATGTGCTGCTGGCCAAGGCTGGGCCAATTTGAAATTATGGTAAGGCCTCTGCAATAACATATTTAAGAAGAAATCAAAACAAAGGTTGTGGGGCAGTTTTACTTTTCAACCAGGGAAGAACAGAATGAGAATATGTGAGACAAACAACTATGCAGACACCAAGGTCAGTGAAGAAGGAGGGGGAGGAGATAATCCAGGCACCAGAGACAAGATGCCTCTGCAGGCTGTGGTGAGGACCATGGTGAAGCAGGATATCCCCCTGCAGCCTGTGGAGATCCATGGGAAATGCAGAGATCCACTTGCAGTGTGTAGAGGAGGTTCCCATTCCAGATGGATTCCCAGGTGGATGCCTTGGAGAAGGCTGCGATCTTGTGGGAGCCCCATGGAAAGAGGGGCCCTGCTCCTAGGCTGGAACAGACTCTCCTTGAAGGATTACATCCTGTGGAAGTGACCAGCACCACAGCAGTTTTGGAAGGACTGTTTGCCCGTGGGAGGGACCACACAGTACAGCAGAGGAATGACTCCTCTCCCTGAGCAGCGGAAGAAAATCTTGGGTGATGAACTGACCATAACCCTCATTCCCTGGTTCTGTGCGCCTCTTGGGGTAGGCAGTAGAGCAGGGAAGGAAGGGAGGGGTGGAGGGGAAGGTGTTTTTAAGGCCTTATTTTGCTTCTCATTATTCTGCTCTGATTTTGTTAGTAATAAATTCACTTTATCACTCTAAGTGGAGCATGTTTTGGCCATTATGGTATTTAATGAATGATCTGTCTCCCAGTCCTTATCTCAACTCATGAACCCTTATTTAAATTCTCTCCTCTGTCCAGTTGCAGAGGGAACGTGAGTGGCTTTCGTGGGTGCCTGGCATCTGACCAGCATCAACCCACGGCATACATTTATCCGATATTCTCTGAAGTATGCCATCAGGTTTTTAAGATTGTGAAATAGGCTATTTTTGCAAGCTAACACCTTAAAGTTTTGGGTTTTTTAAACAAGATTCACTGTTCTGTGGTTTTTCATCTGAAAAAGCTTTAATTTTATTCCTTTTCATTTCTATATATATATATGCATACATAAATATATTTAGAATGAGCCTTCTATTAATCCTTGTTGTTGTTATTAAATAACTTGTTAAAGTACAGGAGTTGAATCAACATTGTCCTTAAAGTTCAACTATTTTGTTTTGTTCTTTACACAGGAGCCCTTACCAAAGTAAAGGAGAGCAAGCGACATGTGGAAGAGGGGAAGATGGAACTCCCAAAAGCTGAGGGCATTCAAGAACGTTGTAACGTTATTTCTTTTGCAACCCTAGCAGAAATTAATCATTTCCACAAAATTCGTGTGAGGGACTTTAAATTACAAATGCAACATTTCTTGCAGCAGCAAATACTCTTTTTTCAAAAAGTGACACACAAGCTAGAAGAAGCTCTTCACAAGTATGACAGTATTTAATCTCTGAACTTTGATTTGTGGACTTTCCTCAGTATGAATGTGACTCAACAAGCAGAGCAAACATTTCTGCTGCTGAAAAACTATTGCCAGTGATAGATTGTGTTACAAGGGTGGTTTTGTGTTCACCTGGAATCTTCATGTAATCTCTGATTATGTAGAAAGGAAACAGTTATAGGGATATGTAGTAGAAACAGTACTACACATTGTAACCAAGTTATACTGTGTATGCCTATACTACCATAGTAACTTTTAAAAAATAATGAGTATACTATTTGCCTTATTGCTTTTTGAAATATGGTATCTTAGTGCATACTTTGTAGACCTCAAAACTGTTTGAATCTTTAAGGAAGTTGACTAGCTAAAAGCCAGCTTCAAATGCCTTTTTACTTTCTTAGATTTAGGTTTCTTATATTAAAGTGATTATTTGTTTACAGATTCCTAGTAGAGCAGCTACATGATTCTGTGCCTTTCAACTCTATTTTTCCTTTTCTAATAAGCCACATTTTTGTGATTGAATGAATGAAGGATTGATGCCCATAACAGGAACTGATTCTAAAACTGATTATTTACTGTAAAAAAATCAGCTCCCATCCAGTTTGAACAGCAAAACTGTCTTATGACAAATGTTATCTCAAAAAGGAGAACTTAAATGTATTCACACTTCCCCTGAAAATGACAACTACTTGTTACATGGACTACTATTGTCCTAAAACAGGTTCTATCACCTGGTGGGTGAGAAGCCAATCCACACACAGTTGAGGTATTTGATTTATTCACAGTTCTGTACAGAAAGGGGCACTGGATGGCAAATCCACAAAGCCAGCAGCATGAGTATCAAAATTTTTCACTTTTATTCATTTTAACATACAAAGGCACCAGTGTTCATTGGCAACAAGTTACATAGTTTTCTCATTAATTTGTATTCTACTTTCTATTTGTTAAATTATTCTCTTACTTCTTATGCTAATTAGTCTGTATGTTCAGTCTTCTTTTGAGTTGGTGGGTTTCTTGGGTTGGTGGCGGTGAGTCAGTGGTCACGATCTCCCCCTGCCAGAATTACCTTCTACCCAAATTAACACTTTATACTGATGATTGGACTTGTTTGTTCCTTCTTCTAGCTTTGGTTGTTTCACCAAGTGTCCTTGGTTAGCTGATTTCAGCATTCTGTTATGTCTGATTTCACTTGATACATTACTTTAAGTATCTTTTTTCTATTCTTTGTCTATAGCTGCAGTTACTGAAGCTTATTAAAGCTGAAATTACTGAGATGTTAACCATAATTTAACTATTTGGAAGCCCAGTGGTATATCACTAGGAAGTTAAGCACATATACAAATATACACCACTAAATCCCCTTTCCAAAGTGAATATTACAGTGAGGTTTGTTTGGGGGGGTGTAGAAAACATTACTGTGAGTGCAAATTTAAAGAGCTAACGTAATAAAAATGAAATTTAAATTTATAAAGATGATATGAGTACAAGTGGTATGGCTAGAACTTTTTTTTATTGTTTTTTTAACTGATCTGGTCCCTGTTGATTGCTGATTTAGTTTATCTTCAGACTTCCATCTCCATTTCCAGTTGTCTGATTTGAGACTCCACTGTGATTCATTAGTTTACTAGTTACAAATTTTCAGGGATGTTCAGTAGTATAAATGATCTGAAATAAGTTTTGGCTGAGTTGACTTGGAAAACAGGTTTCGTTTTTATATTTATAACAACACTTGAGAATTAACAGTTGTCTTAATTTTTGTATAAATATTTGTGATAAGCAGGGTGCATTTATATATATATGTAAATATCTTTTGAAGAGTTTTCTGGATTATTTCCCTTGAATGAAGTCTGAAGTCTGTGTTTATAACCTATTGGTTTTCTTCATATAGGTCAGTATGAAAGAGGGTTTTTATTTATCCTAGCTTTTTTCTCCTAAACAAAAATAACAAAACATTTCAAGGAAGCAAAATGTTTACTTCTCTTTTTTTTTGCTTTAATTAAATTAATCAGAGTTAAACAAGTGAAAGCCTGGAAAAGAAAGATAAGCAATAGTTGCATTCAAGTGCAAACCATTCCTCACCTATGCAGCAGAAATGTACTGTTCTTTTGCTCAATCGTGAGTTTCTGTAGCTTAACCTCACATCTCTGTTTTAGAGGAATAAATGTAGTAATGTAGTTTTGGTTTTGATTCATCCCCAGAAGCTTGGAGATTGCCATTTTGATCATGTTTTATTTGGCAGTGCTGCTATTATGTGCTCAAAGAATTCAAATACAGAATAATGGAGAGGAAAAAAACCAGTATGTGTAAAAAAAAGGACAATCAGTGAGGAAAGACCTAATTTCCAAATTATTAAAAGAGTGCTGCAAACAAGGTTGACAATATAAGGACCACAGTCATAGGGCTGCCTTGCTCTTTATCATCCTCATGGTGTTTTGTTCTACATTGAAAACTTGCCACTTCCCATAATGCCACTTCCCAGCAGTACTCCAACTTCCATTAAAATGTTCAATTACATGAGATAGTGATGAGCTGGGTTTGAACTGAGTTCTGTGGCTTGTATATGCTTAAGCCAGATATTGCCTTATTAAATGTCATTGCAATAATTAGATCAAACAATCAAATTAATTCTACATGGAGGTATTAAGATCTGTTAAAAAATTGATCTTGTTCCACTTTAAGTATTCTAGGAAGTTAGTATTAATTACATATACATGTCCAGGGAAAAATTAAGCTGCAATATGCATACATGCAACATTATCATATACAGTTTTCCCAAATAAACTCTCATGGCCTTCACTTTACCTTCTCATTTGTGAGCCTGTGGGGTGGGGGCATGTCTTAGGTTGGAAATCCAAGATATGGCTGGGGGTGTGTATTCTATTGCCATCTGTTAGACTTGGGCAGTTATCTTCTGTTAATTGGGCCACCTGTTAAAACCAGGTGGGGCAGTTTTCTTTATCTCTTCCACAACCAATCCTCCCTGCAGAAAATATCTTCTGTTAATGGGCCATTGAGTCTCACTGCATGACTGATAAAATTACATCATTCCATTGTGAAATGCTCTGTCCAGGGGGAGAAGCCAAGCATTCCTACCTGGATATAATCTGAGATTTAGAACACCAGAGACAGCCTATTCCACTGGATTCCCAGAGGAGCAGCTTTCTTTTCCACTGGATTCTCAGTGGTAGACCAGGACCATCTACACCACCACTGGACCTTCAGAGGAAAACTACACCCTTCTGCAAGATCACTGTTTCAACAAAACCACATCTGTCACTCCAGGAGGACTGCAACCACCATTTAATTGGACAGCTACAAAACCAACAGGGTGTCAGGTCGTATTCTGACTCTGTCAGTGTTGTTTTGTATTACTGCATTGTTTATTTTCTTTTTTAAAATTTTCTTCCCTAACCAAGAACTGTTATTCCTACTCCCATATCTTTGCCTGAGAGCCCTGAAGCACGCACAGACGACTCTTCAACTAATTAAAGTTGAAAAGAAGGGTATTTATTACAGTGCCGGACGCATGTAGAATGGTTTCCAAAGACATGCATGAGGAGTATACAGAAAAGGCTTTACATATTCACGTGGTTTCTAAGGACACATAATACATAATCATTTCCTGCTTGCTTCATATTATAATCAGCTGAATATCCATTGCGGCTGTGCAATTGTCCTCTTTAATTGGATCAGTGGGCTTCTGAGGAGGAAGATATCTTCCTCATAGTAAACTCTTCACCCATTTCAAGTTGGCAGTGCTCCATGACTTGCTGGTCACAGTCTAAACCTCCTCTTTTCTTAGAAGTCAGTAGTATTTATGGCTCCTGCACTCTTACAATACTCCATATATCACCTGTCATTCCCAACCCTGTTTCAGTTTTCCCCACCTGGTATTGACGGATTTTCTTGTTAAGCTCTAATCACAGTATATCATCTTTGCTAACTATATTTCTAACTTAACTCCTTGACTCAGCCCCTTAATTTCAAAATTATAGTAATTCGGAGGGAGGGGGGTTACATTCTCTATTTCAAGGGAGGCTCCTGCCTTCCTTAGCAGACATCTGTCTTTTCAAACCAAGACAGGGGGAGAGTGTCGGGGCTAATTGGTTAAACTTGATGTACAAAAACCCCTTGACTTGAATCCTGTATCTGAATTGTTGTAGACTTCAAAAAGCTTCAAATCTTCATCCATATTAGCATCTTCCTTTTTTCCTCACTCATTATAGACTTGAACTGACATAGGGAGCCTAAATTCCATTAATCCTCCCTACACTGTGCAAGAATGCTATGGTTTAGGAAGGGTCTTCCTAAATTTAGTGTTCTCACTGAAACATTCCAAACCACACTCTGCCTGCTCACACCCCCATCCCCCTGCCCCTTTGGCGGGCTGGAGAGGAAAACTGTGTCGGAATCTGTGGGTATTGGTGATTCCGAGATTGTAGAAAATCTCTGTCTTTCTGCCCCGTTGCCAAAGAAGAAGCGATAATTCGTCTGTGCTGGCTTCAAGGTTGTTTATTCTTGCTTATCTATAACATGTTCTGCTGCCCTGCCGCAGGTCTGTCCTGCAGGGCAGCGTGCGGGGCTCTGCCCTCAGTGGGATGGTACAAACATTATATACCAGAAACTACGTGTACTATATTTACAATAATGTGCCAATATCTATCATCTACGTTGAACAGTGTGTCCCCAGCCTAAACCAATAGAAAAATGCCAACACTACAGTGAAACATGGAGGGCATGAAGAAGGAGGAAAAGGACAAGACACACCCAATTCCTCCATCTTGTCCCCTCTGAACCCCTAATCTAGAAACCTAAAATTTTACTTTTGCACCCGTGTCACACTTAATTATTACTCTTATCAAACACTCAAAGCTTGTAATTCATCCTGTAAGATTGAAAACTCCTCTCCATGGACAGAGATCACAGACAGTGTCTCTCGGGGCTCTGTCCGGGGGGGTTCCTGACCCCCTGCCAGGGTCCCAGACCTGCCAGGGCAGCCAGAGGGAGGCCCTGGATTCCCACAAACTGGAAGCACAAAAAGGTAAAGATCACCAGTTGAGATAAGAAAAACTTACTGGAAACAGCAATGAGATAAGAAAACAAACAGTAACAACAACAATACTAATAGCAAAGTGTACAAGATAGGCAAACAATTCAAACACAAGTGCTCACCACATGAATACCAGCAACACTCCCACTGCTCCCAACCACACTACCCAACTAGAAGGGACTGTTATGGATCAAGTGAGAACTTTAGACAAGCCCTGCATTAGTCTCAGATTTTTGGCAGCAGCTCTACTTAGGTGACCCGCACCTAAATAGTTCTGGCTCGCAAGTTCTTAAGAATGGCCGAATAGGTCTGTTATGAGTTATTTATTAAATAGACAGAAGGAAACAGACAAAAGGCCTTAAACAGAGTTATTTACTACACAGTATAAACAAAAAAAAACTACTAGTAGATTACATAAAACAGTGCATGACGTAAAGTTACCTATATTACAGCTAGCAAAGAAGTATAGATTAGGAGTCAATGTAACTTACCACCGGATTGACGACAGTGTACACAGATTCCTTTCACTTAACCCCTGGGTGATTAACCACAAAAGTCGGCATCCCAACTTTGGGAAGAAAACTCCACACATTTCCAGGGAATGTGCAGAAGATTTCTGCATTGTGAAAGTATGTTGTAGCTTTCATAATTTGTAAAGTGGCATGTCTGTCACTGAGAAAATCCAGCTATCTTTCCACATCTCACTTCCACCACAAGATGTTTATTGTCAGCTAGAAGTGTCACGTCCACAGTGCAGGCCATCTTTAGTGAGTTATTTCACCAAATAGAAAGCTTTTGTAAAGGGCGAGATGCACCATCTAACAAACAACAGATAAGCTCTTGTGACAAGGAGGTGTCCTGCTACAGGGATCCTTTACCCCTGCCCCTTGCATATGGTGAGGTGGAATAGAATAACTTCTGGGTCCTGGTCATGACCCTCCCGACTACTGCAAAAATTAACCCTGTAATGGTGTAAGGCCCCAAAAACTGGCTCAATGAGGCTCTTAAAAGGGCTTACAGGATTTTTATGTACTCTGAGTTAGATACACAGGAGAAATACAAACAAGATCGTCTCAAGGGGTCAAAAAAAAACAACTTTACTGGCAACTTCAGCAAATCAGAGAAATTTGGTAATAGTTTAGAACAACATTCAATCAACATGAAACATTTCACAAAGCATTAACTCAGGCCATTCAATTTTGAAAGCTCCAAGCGCATGTGATTTTGAGTTACTCAAAACTCTGAGGAGAGAGAATTAGAAGGAAATAAGAAAGAGAAAGAAAAAATATATAGAAAATAATTAATATAGCTACCACTCCTGGGTTCCAGTGGTATTTAGTTTATAGAAATTTTAAGAGAAGGTAGGGATAAGATGTGCTTGCCTCATGCCCTGTCTTAAGTGTTGTTCAGCCTTCTTGGGCCC